ACAAACAAAACATTTGACTGCCAAATCAGAACACAACACACAAATTTATCTGTTGTGAAACTCATGGTTTCCTTGTCACGTATCACAGCAGTAAGGGCTGGAAGACAGAGCTCTGTGAGAACAGGCCAGTCAGTGGCTGTAGTTACAGCTCCTAATATTTTCATTTGTTCACTTTTTTTGTTTTGTTTTTTGTTTTGAGAGAGAGAATCTGAGATTCATTGTGCTATGAATTCCTCTTAAGTACCTGAAATTACTATTTTTTGTTTGTTTGCTTGTTTGGAAATGTGATCCTCAAAGAATCCTTAGTTTTTAGAGTCATTAGGAGGCTTGAATCTTCAAAGTGTTTTTATTTTTTCAATTGTTTCTTTTTTCTTGTAAATCTAAATAGTGTGGTGTATGTATACACTGAAATCAGCATCCACTGTGAGAAAAAGTAATATAAACAGTGAATAATCGATATTTACAATGCTGTCAGGTATTCATATTCATAATAGTTTTGTAACAATGCATTGCTTTGTATTTTCTTAATGCAGTGTATGAATACACTACAAATGGGTATCAAATGGGATATATTGCTGAAAGGAACTGCTGCAGTGTGGTACCAAAGATCTATTTTATTTAATGATTGGGGGGTTTGTCTGCTTTTTTCTCATGAGTGTCTCTGGATTTTGTGTTTTAGCTCTAGTAATTGTGAAGCAAGCAGTGATATCTTGAGTGCAAATATGAACCAGAGCTTAGTGTACAACCCAGGGTGCAAAGAAGGAGGTTCAAAAACCTCTACATTCAGGCAAAAATATTTTCTCACCTAGCTGTAGTTACGCTTTGTAGTGAAGTCTGCTTAAATGCAAAGGAACAATTTTCTTTTCCTTGAGATGAAAGAAACAGGTTTAAAAATTTACAGAGTAATTAGATTTTCCACTTGCCTTGACCTACATTTATTGCTGAGATTAGAAACTGCAGTGTTCAATAACTATGTTCTGGCAAGTTTTATGTGACTTTCTTTGCCACTCTTACTTTATTATGGTTAATAAAAAAGAAATATTTGCTTTGGAGGTACTTTTAGTCCTCTGCTTAATATTTGCTTTGGAGAGGAATGGATACCTAAGATTTTTTTCTCACCTCTTCAAACAGCACATCCAATTAATTACTTTATATTAGGAAAACCAGTGTCTTTAGTTATTATTCTAGGTGATTGTTTGCTCTGTCACATTTATAACATTTCTTCTTTATTCAGCAGCTAAACCAGCACAAAAATCCCAAAGTTCAGGAGTGAACAGTGTCTTAAGAATGCATCCCTCTAGTGCTGAACAGCATGGGCTTTTGGAACGGTGGATCCTCGTTCAGCTGCACTGTGGCCAGGTGAAAGGGGTGCCTGGCTGCACCCCAGTCATCATTCCAGCAGAAGCTGCAGTAACTGCAGTGTTGAGGTTGGAAAGGTTAGCCTAACAACCAGACTGGTTAGCAGCTTTCCCAAACCTAGAAAAAAAAAAATTCAAACATATTTGAGTATAAGAACATCTGGTTTATGGAAAATGTAAGGATTCATTGGATTAGTTCTTATTTAAGTTGATTTACTCCACCAAGATACAATAGGAAGGAGTAGTGATTCTTCTGAGATTTTATATATTTGGCAAGAAAAAAATTACTTTAGGTAAGCAAGCAAGTGAAAACAGTGCCAAGCTAGCTTCCCTGCAGACTTAAAATATTATTTTTTTAATGATTTAGCAGTTATGAAAATGCCAGCATTAGTCTTAAAATACTTTTAAGTGCCAAAAAATATGCAAAAGTCTTGCCAAATAATACATGCACTCTCTTCAGGTAAACACTGAACAGGAAGAACTTTGAAAAATGGAATACTTAGATATTTCTAAATTGTACTGCTACATAAAGAATCTTTTATGAAGTAAGTCCTGCATTATCTCTTCCCTTAGAGACAGATTGTCACCTGGCTTGTAAGTTGCACTTTGAAGTGAATACATATCCATGCTCACTATAATATGATTTGCATTCACCATCCATAGGGCTCCCTAATTTTCAGGTGAATCTAGACCACAGCTGCCAAGCATTTTTTTCCTCTGGTTTATTGTTGTTGAACAACATGCATGAACTGTATGCAATTACACTATTACTGTCTGCCAGTCCACCTTTATAATCTTGACTTTTATCAAAAAGTATAGTTAGCACTGCTTTGATGTCTGGTAACAGTGACCCTGCCAGTAAAGATAGGGATTAGTATCAAATGCTTATGAATGGGGATGAATAATAATTACCATTTAATTGAAAGGGGGAATCAATTAAATTCAATTATGTTCATTTGCATGAAGACATCTGAGCATATTTTTTTTAATGTATTTAGAGGACTACCTGTTTTTTGTGCTTTTTTTTTGTGTTTTTTGAATTGTGATTGGTTTGAATTTGCTTAAAATTGAACTTTTAGCAAAATAGAAAAAGTAATACTTTACATAACTGTTTAGCAAATATTATTTGGCTTCTGTGATAAAGTTATATTGACAATACTCAACTTCATTCAAAATACCTGGAGAAGACTTTTAGACTAATACAAAATTCTTTTATCTTTATCATAGAGACAATCTAAAATCTGAAGGATTTGTCCAAATTCCATGAAAAAAGTAAGTACAAATTAAGATCGTTGTTAGGTATTTCAGATTTACTGTGACATTATGTAATTTTAAATGTGGGGTTAAGCTCCTAAAGCCATAAAGCTTTGTTAATTGTATCTCCTGTTGTTTAGTTTTATAGTCATAAATACTTCTTCCATGAAAGGTGCATTTCACAATTGGGTCCTTAGTATTTTCTCCTCCTTAGTTATGAATTCATTGCCATAACACTTTTTAAATTCAAGTTTTGATTTAATTCTGGTAGTAGACTACTTTTAGTGCAAGGGGATGTAGTTTGGAGAGATTATATGACTTATTAGGCTTGTTCAGTGATAAAGTTATGCCTTCCAGTGATTGCAATGAAATCCTGATTTATGTGCTAAGAAAATTAAAAGTGTGGCTCCATGAAGATTGTAATGGTATGGGGTTCTTTGTTGATCCTCATTCAGTTTCCTGGATAAAAAAGGGTAAAATAGTCTAGGTTTTGAGGAGTGGGGCTTCTCAGAGAGATAGAACTTCACTTATTCAAAGCTGTGAAAATACCTAAATAGTTTTGAGGGTCTACCTGTGGTTAAGACGTTATCAACTCCCAGAGCAGCAGCAAGCCTTTAATAAATACCACCTGCTCCAGTGTCCTAGTTTAATATACAGAGGAAATTGGACCATGAACTGAGTAGCCAAGAGATGGACAAATGTTCTGTTTAGCTAAATCCAGGCAGTATGTTTTCCAGCAGTGGGCTGAGGGAGAGAGTTTATAGTGGCCTTACATCAAGACCATGCAGCTCTTTCTGGCAGAAACCTACTTATTAGAAGCCAAGTTAATAATAAAAGGGTAGCTGTGTTATTATCAGGTGCATCAAAAATGGAAGAATAGAATGTCATTTACGCAATCTTCTTTCCTAATCTAACAAAAGTCTTCTTGGCCAGACTTGGCACTCGAGTCTCATAGAACAGGTTATTTATTTATTATGTTTATTTTGTTATGTTTGTGTAGCCAGGTTACTGACTATTTGACCCTGTCTATTTCTGATATGACGTTATAAAAATCTAGCAGAAGAGTTTGTATGACAATGCACATCTCTTTGGACTGTAGAAAAACATAGTAATTTGTGGCAGAAACACTGGGGGCTTGACCAAGCTATGTTTTATGAGGAAACGTGATAAATAGCAGTGGAAGCTGTTTTGTGTACCTGTGAGTGGAAGAAATACTTGATATAATTACTAAAGGTAATTCCACATGAGCAGTAAACACTTACTAAATTTTTCTCTTATATCTGGTTGAATTTCAAAAGTGGAAAAAATTATTACTGCAAAGGTTTAGTGGCAGAGAAGGCAATAAAAACCCCTGAATTTTGAAAATGGAGAGTGGAATCCTCTCCACTGTTTTCATCTGGAGACTTAATTCCAAAATGCTGGTTCTTGGCTTGTATGCATTTAGTCAGGCTTAACATTTCTTGTTGGAAGCTACCTTTAAAAAAAAGTAGATGATAAAATCATAGAATCATTTAGGTTGAAAAACACTCCAAAATTCTGATAGATCTGTACAAAAGTATGGGTGGAGCAGATTTATAATAATTAGTCCACAATTTTTTAATCATAGTTAGTCATTATAATCTTTCATAGTTAGTCATTATAATCTTTATGACCCATTACAAGAGTCTTAAGATTGATTATGGGCTACTTGAGAACATCCAGACATGCAAGCTGATCATTGCTCCGTTTATACAGGAATATTTGATGGCTGAATGCATTACTGGCTTTGGAGCCAAATTACAGTGGGGCCTGGTATTATCACTTTTATTTCAGTGCTTTTGTGGTTCAGCTACTGTTACTAAATATATGCAGCAGAGCTCTTTGCAATTTAAGAGTTGAAACTCCTGGTGTTAAGAGGCCAGCAGAAGGTAGCATTTAAGCTATGCCTGAGGGCTCTGCTGAGGTCAAAGGCACAGATGTGTGCCTGGTTTGTTTTTGCACACAGAAAATCGTGAAAGGACAGTCTGCGGGCAAATGGAAGATTTGCATATAAATGTACATGTTGGTAGCAGTAGAAAATAACTATGGTGACTCTGGATTTTAGCCTAGTGATTTCCATATGCTTTGGGTTCTGTCGCTTAACTTCTGAGCAGGTGGAATATGTTTTCTGTGTACAGCCACAATAAAATGGTATTGGTATGGGGGATGGATTCAAACATATTATTAGAACTAGCTAGCTTCAAATTCTCTTCTCCAAAAAGAAAAAAAATGTTTACTGAAGAATTTTATTTATCTTGACAGATTGTATCCAGAAAGCTTTCCAGGACCTGTGAGATAGATCTACAGAATGGTCAGATGGTTGGAGCATTGAGACTCAGTAAGCTCCAAATTAGGAAAAGCCAAGTAGGGAACTTGTAGTTGTTACTCTGACAAGTGCTCTGAGTGAGTACTTTCCTTTATTGCACAATCCACATGAATTATTTAAACATTTACATTTATTTAAATTTACATTATTTAAATTTTATATTTTGATAAGTATCTGTTGGAACTTGTTCCTTTTTGTAAATGTTTGGGGTTTTTCCTCTCATACAACTGGTATGAGAGTGTTCCACTGTTTGTATGTAGGTAGTCTTGAGAAGCATTCACCAATGATATAGTTTTTCTTAACAGTAATTTCAATATCCCAAATTTTAGGAAGGTAGAAGAAAAATAAAATGCACTTATACAAAAATCCTAGTTATACAGAATAAAATCAAGTTTTCCTCCCAGAGTTTCCCCAAAGTTAATATATCAGGCCTTAGCTACTACTTTATAATAACTACTGTTTGTTTTCAGTAGAAGCTGAGTAAATGGTTTCTGAACTTTGTTCTGAGAAACAATAAATGTGGGCAATTTCAAATCAAGGACTGGTGTTTGATTCTATAATTTACCTTGTCGTTGAGATGTCTGTTAACAGCTTCACGTCTTTCAGTGTAATGAGGCTCAGATTTTACTATTGTCTAGGTAACAATTGTTAAAATATTGATGGCAGTGGTATTTGCTGTAAGTATGCTGTAAATTAATACCTTTTCTATTGTTACTGCTTGTAAATCTGAACCACAGTAAGAGTTGATCTGTCTGTTGTTTTATTAAAGTTCCCTATTTCCTGGGTTTGGGATGAAATCCAGCTGGTTTGGATTCCTCCATAGAATAAAAATATTTTCTATTCTGCTAATTAAGTGTTTTTTGGGAAGAGGAGAGAAGTTTTGTTACCATTTTAGGATTTTTCTGGTCTGCCTGTTGCTAGTGTTGATAGACAATGCCTCTTCAGGTTATAACCTTGTTTGAAGTCTGCTTTTTTTCATATTCTCCCTTTGCTGTATTACTTAATTTGTTGTCCTATTAAATTAAATAACTAATGCAACAAATTCCATCTTTCCACCATGCTTGTGAAGCTTTGTAAGTTTATATAAGTTGACTATGTTACATAGAACTATTCATGTAATTGTAATTGACTTACATTATGACATTGTAGTTCTATCTTTATCATAAGATTTCCTAAAATATTGTTTTCAGCTTTATCTCAAGGCTTCCTTTCTTATTTGACAGTGCATGTGAGTTTTCAGGGATGCTGCTGAGTTAATCTCATTCTCAACAGGTCAAATGGAGTGTAGAGGGCTTACAATGTTTTAGCAGTGTTATGCATATTTGAAATTAAAATTTGATTTTTAAAAGCTTAATTTTCCATATAACATAAATTTTATACTGCTTTTTCTTTGATAAAGTAGTAATAAATTAGTAAAATTTCTGATTTAATTAAAAAGCTCTTCTGAATGAATACTTAATATTTTCAATATGGATAAAGGGTAGGTGAAGAAAATTTAAAATTTCTTAAAAGATAGTATATCTTCCTAAGTTATATGTATATAAATTTTATACTAAATTAAAACTCTGGGATAAGGGTTTAGGATACAACTTAATTATAATTTTAGAAGGCAGTTTTAACATTTCTCACAGGATGGAAAAGGGTGAACTTTCTTATGATTTTTATATTATTTTCTGAACCTTACTGTTACTATACTTAAGACTTTAGGTAAGGCATCTTTATATAGGAAAGAAAATTCTGGCAATAACAATGCATTACTGGAAGCATAAAAGATGTCACAACCAAACTTTTCTTCTTTTTTTTTTTTCTAATCATAATTATAGACCTGATTTCTGTGGTTCTGTGTTTGTCTCTCTCTCCTTCTGCTTGACCAATGAGCACTAATCCTAGGGAAAGACCAAAGATCCCATGGATTAAACATATCCCATGGATTGCTAGTATTAGCAGGAAGCTTGTAAGAATGATCCAGCAAGGACTATGCTTTACTAGTGATCTTTTCAATTTGAGTTTTAAAGGAAAAGAAGATATTGTGGTTTAAATTAAGTTTGAAATAGGATTTAGAATTTGACTGAGGACAAATCTAGTTTAGATTGGTTAGAAGGCATAGGCTTCACAAGTCATATCCTGGTTATGGAAATGCTAAAAGATCAGTTGTATTTGCAATTGCAAATTGGTTGCTATTCAAAGTGGTGACATGTCTTTTGAAATAATTTATTAGACTCAAGATACTTGCCTTGAAATGTGGCTGAAACCAGATTTTGCAATTGAACACTTGGACTTTTTGCAAATGGGTACTGTTTTTTCCCTGACAGCAGGACCAGAAGTGCAGATAATTTCTAGAGATGCATTGAAAGTGGCACCAAACAAAGTCCAGTAAAATAAATAAAAACTGAACACATTAATTAAAATTCTGTAATATAAATTGTGAGCATGTGCTTTTTAGCTTTTACCTCTATTTGCTTTTCTGATTTTCTCTGATGACCTCAAAGATAATTTAAACCTTTAAGGTTATTTGAGTTTTTTGGGTTTTTTTTCCTTTGTGATTTTAATTTTTTTGGTTTGTTTGTTTTTTACTTTGGGAAGTGTTATCCTCTTTGTATCAGTTTTATGCAGTATTTATATCTAGACTGCTGACAGATGGACTTTGTCAAATTTCTGTAAAGTGTTTTGGGCCCTTCATGTATGTGAAAGGGACCTGAATAGATCCAGTTGTGGAATTGGTATTGTGCTGGGTAAGAGTGTTGTGAGTTTGATGTGTAGTGTTGCCTCAGTATTAGAGATCATAAAAGATCATAAAAAATCATTCTAGACCTCTGAAAATTACTAATAATAACACATGAATTGTATTTTGTTGACTCCAGTGGCATGCTTTGCTCGTTCAATAACACCAGAGCAGTCCCTTTTAACTATGAAGTCATGTCTGCCACTCAATTTATCCCTAGCTGAACTCAATGTACAGGCCTCTTATATAATAAAGTCTAAATGACAAAGAATGAACATGTAGTACAAGTACTTTACTTTACAAATTTAAAATTGATGCTGACGCTACCCATTGCCAACTTTTTTTTTAATGTTCTGTGTGTGTATTTTACAGAAATGGTAGTTTATTTGAATGTAAGATTGCTTATTTTACTGACTTTCCTGTTACAATGATTTTGATACATTCAGAGAATCTGCTTCAGTAGATTAATTTCTATAGGTATTGTAAAATTCATGCTTACATTAAGGACTGTAAAATTCTACAGACACAACCATAACTTCTCTGTCTTGGCAGATATTTGAAGATGTCTTTTATGTCTATAGCTATCAAGCATTTGCCACATCATGAGTTTCAACTTGATGTACAGTATGTTACCTCATTGCCTTTCTTAGTGAATAGACTTTAAATACTAAACCAAATTTTAAATGTAAAATGATATAAAGAAACTATACTTTCATATATTTTCAAGTAATACTTTATGAATCCAGATGCTTAAATAATGCTATTTCATCATAAGAACACTGGAGCACCTGTTCAATGTAGATTAAATATAAACTCAACAGGCTGTTCTTTCATGTTTGATTTTTCTTGTGAACCATTGGATGGCTCTTCTTCATCAGCTGCTAACTAACCCATAGTCCACATTTTCTTTCTGCAGACACAAAAAAACTTCTTAACACACTGACCTTCATCATTCTTACTTGGTAACATCCACATCTAACATAGTTTGAAACTTCAGCTTTGTGAGTAATATATTTGTGCTGTAAAAGTTGAAGAGTACTAGAGGAAGAGGAGGGCGTGATTACTCAATCACGCGTGTGGGGAAAAGAATGTGCTCAGAAACAGCATATGTAAGGCAATGTGTGTATGAGCCAACCTGAGTGTAGGTATAGAGGGTTGTGCCAGGGAATGGGTGAGTCTTTCTGGATATGCTAAAGGGGCAATAAATTTTTATCAAGGGCAGAGAGAGACACAGCTGAATGCTTGTACTTAAATATGTAAAATACAGTTCTTAAATATGTAAAAAAATGGTGTTGGGAGAAAACATACAGAATATATACTGAGTCACCTTTCTTTTAAAAAATTCCTTGTTTCCCAGTTTCCTTTCTGCTTTTCATTTCTTCCTTTTATGCCTGCCTGTGTCTACAGTGATAAGGTTATCCTGGCAGTAAGGAAATTGTGTGAGCCGTAACCATTGCTAGTAGAAGGACAGTTATGACTGTCCTGCTGTGTGGAAGGGCTGGTCTGCACAAAGATTGCTTCAGCTTTTATTCTAGTTAATTGTAAGCCAACAGATAACAGTAAAAACAACAGCAACAAAACCACAAAAAAAACCCCAAAAAACAACCCAGAAAAAACAAACAAAAACCCAACCAAACCCAGTGCCAGGAAACTGCTATTTGATTTATATTTCTAGTATTTAATTTGCATTTTGTTTACATTTCACTTATTTTAATGCTTGCATTACTCTTCAGACAGCTCCACTGAATAGCTTGAATGAGCTTGTAAAAGATGTACAAGTTTTTTTCTTTCACACAGGTTCTAAATCTTCAAACATATTCAGTGACTCTCTTGAAATACAATATTATGTCTAAGTTATTCTACTTTAGAAAAACATACAGGATGGCATAGAGTCATCTATGAAAACACCTTTCCTGAGATGGATGATCAGAAGTAATGGTCTCCATTTCCCTTTAGGAGATCTTTTAAGACGTTTAGTAGATGCTATTAAAATGTTGCAGAGCATGGGAGGTTGAATTCTGGACATAAAAGCCAGAAGTGATCAGATGGTTATTTTCTTTCTCCTGTGCCTCATTTTGGTCAACTGTATACCTTAGTATAAGTCTGTTATATTAATTCTTCCCACTAAGAATTTTAGCCAAGCTAATTATTGATTGTGTGTGCAGTCCAGAGATGGGAAGTAGGGTCTGCTCTCTGCCTTCATCTCCTAGTCTGTGTTTTGGTGACTTTTTATAATTTGATGACAATGCTGTACTTACTCTTTATTTGAGCCAGATAAAATATCATATCTTATTTATAGTATAATATTTATATTTGTGCTAGTATGTGGAGTAGTATTTTCAGTATGCTTTTTTTAAGGGAATAGAAGACTCTTAAGTACAAGATTAAATGGATGTAGATAGAAATACTGTGGATTTTGTGTCTTGTGACACATAAAAGCCTTCAGTATTTGGTAATGCTTTTTCCTCCTCACCTTCTACTAAAAAATAAATCAGTCCTGTATTTTTCTGTATTTTTGTTGTCATAATCGAAAATCTGAAGGATTAGGCCTGTGATGGTTTTCCCACATTTTGCATTGTTTTATACTACCCAAATTATTTCTATATCTGTATTTCTGAAAAATTTTTACTTAGTAAGGTAAATGTGGATGTCTTATAAAAGTTCAAGCAAAATTAAATTTTACATTCTCAACTTTCTCACATCAGTCTCTGACAATATGTTTTGCTATATGGATATAGAAGTAGCAACTTGAAGCAACTGAAATCAAGTCTGAGCATTTAATGTAAAAGTAATGAAATCTCTGAATTAAAAGAAAA